ATGCCAGAGGGTCAGCTATGGGTTGGTTCTGACTGAGTACAAAACAACAAACAACAACAACAACAAAATGGAAAATAGAAATAAATAGACTGAATTTGAAAAAAATATGTCCTAGATTAAGTTCTGTAGAAATTATTAAATGGGAACCTAATTTGCTATGTAAAATTTCACCTAAAACTCAGTTAAAGCTAGACCACACAGAAGCCACATAACTGTACTATAGTAGCTTAACACCCAAGAAAATACCTTTAATAACTTAGTTTGTGGTATTCCTTTAGTTTTCCTAAAGTCTTAGTGAAATTTGAAGATAATTTCTATATATGGTGTTAAACAATATCTAAAGCTACTCCTTTTAAAAGAGGGTATATGCCATAAATTCTTCCCAATTACCAAAAATGAAGAAAATAAATAAGGAATTTCTAGTGTTTCTTTTTATTAGAAAATGTCATTTAAGTTATGTGTTGCTTCCACTTTTTGTCTTGGCAAGCTGGAGGCTTAGGGATAAAACTAAGCCGTAACATTTGGTTTACGATAAAACAGTCCTGCCCATCTTTCCATGTGATTTCTGGCCTCTCTTTTTATAGCCAGTATTGCTTACTTCATCCTGCAATATCCAAAACCAAGCCTACTGCCTCTGAGTTGGTTCCAGCACACAAGAAGCCTCCACTGGGGTCTGTAAATTGTTGTGGGAGACGACTTTGGAACAGTAAAGGGCTTTGAGGACATGTTTACTCAATTTTTAGAGTTAGCAATTGATTTTTTATCTTGATGAAATGACTGAGGATAAAACATGAATCTTATCCCAATCTTCACACTACTCTTGCAGGGATTTTGGAGGTGTTTTCCCTGAAGGAATTCAGGAGCTATAATCAATGCTTTTCAATCTCCTCCTTCTCAGTTTCCCTCTCTTTTCATGTTTATTTTTAGTAAATCAGTCATAGATTTTGATTTTTTGATCTTGACTCTATAAGACACTCATTTTCTTCATTTTAAAAACATATTTTTGTCTTATAACATTAAACCGATTCATATAATTCATTACAATGCCTAATCAAACTCTTAGGTTGCTTTGGTGGCCTAGTGGGTAAGCAGTTGCCCAACAAACCCAAACTTAGGTGGTTTGATGCCACCAGCAACTCCAGGGGGAATGATGGACAATCTCCTTCTGTGCAATTCACAGGACGGGGCAGCGCTGAGTCAGTTCTGACTGTCGGCACATAACAATTGAATCCTTATTGTATATTGACTTCTCTTTGATCCAATTTATTTCTTAACTTTTGTTCCCCTTTGCTGCCATTCTACTTTTTCCAGAAACATTTGTTGAAAACAGGAATGTGACACTAAGACCTATATTTAAAAGAGGGGACTGATACTCTAAAACTGACATGTCACTTTAGAAAAAAAAGATTGTCTTCTTATAAATGATGTTTTTGCAAATTCATACATTTCTTAATTCCTACATGTGTGCAATGTCTAGAAGCCTTATCTGTATCTGTAAGAGTAATATGCCTCTTCACTAAGAGTTTCCATTTATGTGTGGGTCTCCACCACTGGACTACAAAGCTCCCCTTCTTTGATTTTTGACTAATGGATAATAGTTTCTGTGTTTAAGGCATAGTGTTACTGAGGAGGCTAGAGGAGGCTGACATTGTCCTTCTAGAAACTTATAGTTCAGAAGGGGAAGCAGGACACATACATACCTTAAAGATGGTAAAAGCAATTAAAGATAGCAAACACTAAGTGTCAACAGAAAGGAGAAAGAATGGAAGTGCCTTTTTTAGAGTCTTATAGTCTATTATTGTTCCTCAAGGAACAAGTCTGTCCCATTCCTAAAAGGATTTAAATGCGGAAAGGGCATGTTTTTAAAGTTTTAACATAACTGAGTTGGAACATAAATTTTACCATTTCTAAGTCTTTGAAACGGATGTCTTTGAATTGTGGTGTTGGCGAAGAGTGTTGAAAATACATGGTTTGCAAAAAGAACAAACAAATCTGCCTTGGGGGAAGTGTAACCAGAGTGCTCCTTAAAGGCAAGGATGGTGAAATCTTGTCTCATTTTTGGCATGTTATTGGGAGAGGTCACTCTTTGGAAAGAGACGTTATCCTGGGAAAAGTAGAGGGTCAGTGAAAGAGAGGATAACTCTCAAGGAAACAGATTGACCACAGTGAGCTTAACAATGGGCCGGAACATAGCAGAAATTAGGAGGACAGCAGTGAGGACGAGGGTCAACTTGTTGTCCAGAGCCGCTGTGATGACTGAGCATACGACGATTCCAGTTACAGTGCACTGAAGGCATCTAGCAACAACATTTCTCAGTCAGTGACCTTAGGCAAGTTATGTTCTCTGAGCTTTGAGTTTCTCCATGGTTAAAGGTAATACTGATTATGGGGCAAAAATACTGTGAGGATTAAATGAGATCATGTATATTAAGCCACAGAGTAGGTGACCAATTAATATCAGCACAGCATGACTAAGTAGCACTTAATTGGTTGATGATTTTTTTTCTAACTGTGAGATATTCTCATGGTTGTATTTTCTAACCTATACACAGATAATTCTACTTAGCTTGCATAACTGAAGAAAAGTATCTATCTATCTAGACATACACATACCCACCCACCCCACATATATGTACATATAGATATTCATATACACATACATATATTTTTAAATCATCCTCAGGAGAGCCTGATGAGAGAAACTCAAACAGATTACTGTGTTATTAACTACTAATGCTGTTAATAATTAGTTCCTTACCAGGATGAGTTATTTGCAGAGTTCTGGAATGACACTAGCCTTTAAAAAGGACATTAATAACCAGCTTCCCACTCAAGTCATAACAAAAGACAGGAAGGCATAGCTGGAAGCATGCATGGAAGCATAGAGGGTGAGGAGCACCGTTTCTGCACACATGGCACACAGGCAGCACACATATGAAAAACCAACAGCACATAGACTTCTAAATTAATCATCGCCCACAAGTATTTGCAAAGCTTTTTCATGTTGACTGAGTGCAGTTACACAAAAAGTCTCTTCCATCAGCAAACATTCAAAATCCTCAAAATTTATTAACAGTTGAATGTGTTCACAATCTCAGTGTTAGATTATAAAAAGCACTTGGATTTGAGACTCTCCTGTCTACCCTGCAATTGGCCAATACTATAACAATCTAAGAGAGCATTCAGACAACATGAAAAAAATGATGGTGGGATTTGGTGGTGATATTAGGAAAGAGCTGTTTCTTTAATTGTTTTCAAGGTATCAGTAATGACTAAATGGATTTAAAAAGAGCCATGGAGGCTAAAATATATAAGGTAAGTAAAAAATGGATCTCTACTGGAAAAATTTATATAATGTGATCACTGCTTTAAACTGCCAAACTCCGTACTTGCTTTAGGAGGAATATACCTTGTCAAATGTTTTCTGCGCAAAGTACACAGATTTTAAAGATCATTCTGAACCCTTCTTTTCTTTGTTGTCACAGCTCAGTGCTAAAGACAATTTGTAAAAGAATACTCAGGGTTTAAAGCTTAATCCTTTCCCCTCTGGTCCAGGTTATCTAGAGACAACAGAATCTTTCAAAATGGTTCATTTTGATTTTGGCTTTGTGGCCTCCAGGGGATCAGGAACCTGAAATCATTATCAAGCTGTGCTCTTTCAGCTTTGTAGTTTTAAGGTTTCCAGTACAATGGGGTTCCTGATCTGCCTCTGACTACATCCGTTTCTATAGCCTCACATCAGGATTTCAAGTAGCTTCTTCTCTTAAACTAATTCCAAGGGACTGAATTTTTGAGAGGGATGGTTTTCAGAAGGAAAAGTGCTGGGGCTCATGCGCAATGTTTGTTGTGGGCAGGGGGACTGGGATTGAGTCACCAGTGCCAAGTTTTTGCCAAATAAACCACAGCACATGTCCTTTCCCCTCGTCAAGGCTTGTCCTTCATTTTCTAAGTACCTGCTGTGCTCAACACCCACCCTCTCTCCATGCCTTTTTTCATTTTCACCTCACTCGGTATGTCATTCCTTTCCCTGTCCATCTCCCCAGTCCTCAACAATGCTTGAGCTGGGCACAACTCACTATCTGACAGTCTTCTTCACTTATTTTTACCTCCACCCATGTAGCCGTTTCCCTATTGTGTTAGCCTTGTGTTGCTGTGATCTTGGAAGCTATGCTATAAGTATTTCAAGTACCACTAGTGTCAATTGTGTTGAATGCTCTTAGGCAGTGTTTCCAGAGAAAGAAGACAAGGAAGACAAGTCTGCAAATCTATTGCTGAAAACTAGTCAACAAAATCTCTATGAATTACAGAATATTATATTAGAGTTCAACTCATCAACATTAGGCATGCCATGAGACGGGAGCAATCACTGTAGAAGGGTATCATGTTCGGTAACGTGGAAGACCAGTGATGAAAGTAAGACACAAAGACTGCCAACAACAGCCTCAAGAGGATCAATCATCACAAAAAGAGTATATTCTAGTCTATGTTCTATTATAGATAGGGCTTCCATGAGTTCGGCCAACTTCACAACTATTTCTACTTTTACCATACAACTCGGTCTGCTGGTTTTGAGTGTCTTTCTGCTTCATGAACATTTGCCTTCTTACTTACCTCAGTGAAACTGACAGTCCACTGTGCCCAACCACACTTCTTTGGTACCTTCTACCACGATGACCATTGCTTGAGAAAAGGCACCACACAGAGAAAGGTAGAGAGGTCAGGGATAAAGAGGAAGACCTCCAACCAGATGGACAGGTGGTGTCTGCAACAACGCGTGAGAGCATGGTCGAGATGGGGAGGAAGGCAAAGGCAAAGGATGGACAGGGCAAGGTTCAGCTCGGCTGTACACGGGGTTTCTATGAGCTGTAGTTAACACCAGAGCATCTAACAGCAACCAGCCAACCAATGTGGGATCATTGCTAAAGGCAGAATGGGCTAAGAGGTAAAATAAAGGTGGGTAACTTGGACGCATATCCCTTAAGAGCTCCTAATCAAATTACCTGGTAGAGGATGTGCTCGGTAAAGACCTCCTCATTGCTCCTGGACTCATGCTGTAGTATGAAGAACTTTCCAAATCTGAGAGAGAAAAATTCGGGCCAGTTCCTGCAGCTATTGGTGCTGGAAGAAAAAGAAAACATCCAATTTTGTGAATACAAAAGCAGTGAGAATATAGTTCAACACTGTAGTCAACATACTTTTGCACTTATATGAGCAATTTGCCCCAAATAATCAGTAACTGATTCTGACCTCTAACTCAGAATAAAACTTTTTTAAAAGAAACAACAATAATGAATCTTTCATCTCTCTTTTTTGTAACAAAAATTGTCACCATGTTATAACATTCTAGATATTTTTAACAACAACAACAACAAAAAACCAAACACAACTCCATGTTTCAGTCTTAAAATTTCTTGGATAACTGTCAAAACATTCTCTAGCCTTTTTAAAACTTTGTCTGATCTTGATGAAAATTACACTTTTGTATTATGGAATCTGGCTCTGAACTTTGGCAAGAATGAAATTAATCTTTGTAAGGTATACATTCTCAAGTCTTTGCAAAGAGAAATATGTGAATTTTTTCCTTACTCTGAATCACCTTGGCAGGCTGCTACATCTCTATCCGTCCTGCCTTGTAATTGAAAGCACAGATTTTAAACTGGAAACTGTGGTCCCTATTCCATAGTTTCTGTAAATAAAGTTTTATTGGGACACAGTCACATTACCTTTACATATTATCTAACGGCTTTCATACTACAACAGCAGTGATAGTTACCTTCTATAGAGACCATATTGGTCACAAAGCTGAAAATATTTACTGTCATCTATTTAATAAAAAAAAAATGTTTTTTAACTTCTGATCTAAGATTGTCAAAGGTAATTTCAACTACAAATGGTTTTCAGAATTGACACTGTATGATATGCTTCAATGTTTTTATGTTCTAGAACATCTAGATGTTTTGTTTATGCCTATTAATTAGTGATATCATTATAAAAGTACAAAAGCCTTCATCTGAAAAATTATGCAAAGGTAGGTACAAAAGATGCATGTATTACTGTATTAAGGTACTTGGTTTGAGAGCTAGATTCATACAGATAAATAAATAAATTAAAAGATCTGTGTCATGTAAGCATGAATGGCTATAATGCAAAAAGTTAGGGGTTCAAGTTTATTCAGTGGTACCTGGAATGTGAAGATTGGTCAAAGCAATGTTGTTCACTGTAGCAAGAAAATGGAAATATACCACATGTCTATCAATAATTTAATTAATTGGGAAAGTATGGTATATTCACACAATGGAATACAATGCGACACTAATGAGCAATGATTTCATAACATACTACACATAACATGGGAGAGTCTAGAAAAGCATTATGCTGAGTAAACTTATTCAGCCTCAAAAAGACAAATAACTGCATAAGACCATTACTGTGAAAATAAAAGGATAACTAGTAAGATGTTTATAAAAGTTCAAAAGGGGAAGGAGAAGAGACCAAGGGGCTGGAGTGTAAAGAGGGAGGAAATCACTTGGAGCACAGAGTTTGCTGAGCAGAAGGAACGAGTGGAGGAATTGGAAAAGATTCAACAGGGACTTGAAAAGGTAGGTAAAAGCAGTCATAGACTGTTGTTGTTGGTGGTGTGGGTAGTGATCGCCTTTATGTCAAGCATGACTCATAGTGACGCTATGAACAATAGGCCTGAAGCCCCTCTACAACTATCGACATCAAAGTTCATAGTTTCCAGAGACATGTTTTTAGGAAGTGGATGCCACTCCTGCTGCCAAAGACAGACTAGTAATTATTAGTTTATAAAACACAATGTATATGAAATGATAGTGTGAAATGTGTGAAACACAATGTATACAAATTTTACCTACAAATAAATATAAATTTTAAAAAAATCAAACTTTGAAACTCCTTAGGAAGTACAGTGCTACACACGACACGGTTACTATGAAGTAGTATGAGTGGTGGGTGGTTTTTTTTTTGTTTGTTTGTTTGTTTGCTTTAATCTCTAACAAGAAAAAATAATGAACTAAGAACTTTCTCTCAATACACCAATGCTTATGAAAAGTCTGTTATAGCCCAGAACGGTGCAGGATGAAGAAGAGACTTACATGAAGCAGCTAATAGTGGGCCATCTAACACAGTTTACTATGAGAGCTTTGAAAATGAGATGCTTGAGTGGAATGTTAAAAGTAAAAATTACTCAATTAAAGGCACAGAGAGATTCTGGGGAGCAAATACCATTTGTAATGGGAAGGAAGCATGAAACATTCATCGACCTTCTGATCATCTAGTATGATTAGTGGACAACACAGGAGGAAAAATTGGGAGAGTTCAGGTCAGGTCACAGTCCATGATCTTCAATACAGCAGATTGTCAAGTTTACTAAGCAATTAAAACACTTATCACAATCCATTATACTTGAACTTGGATCTCTAGCACCTAATATAATCTTGTGTATCAGGGGACAGTCAATAAGCACTTGACAAATGGAACCAAGTGGTGTATTTGGTTTTCTCCACCTATTGAAGGAGGACTAGAAACATGTGGGAATGCCATGGCCAACTTTGCATTCACAACCAAGAATGACCACTCTGTCCCGAGAGCATGGTTGGGTGCCAGAAGGGAGAATACCATCAGTACAACCAGAGAGGTCACTGATGTCACTTAAAGAAGGCAAGATGAGGTGGAGTCTAAACTCAAAGGACAGAAAAGACTGATAGAAGCTATTTAGGAGTTGTAATAGAGAAAAAATATGTGCTGGTTTCTTGAATGAGTAAACCTTTTTAAAAATTTTATAAAGGAGGGAGCTCTGGTGGCTTAGTGGCAAAAAGCTGCACTGCAATCCCAGAGGTGTGCGGTTCGAATCCACCAGATGCCTCTCCTGGAGACAGAGGGGCAATCTCCTCCTGTACCAATAAGATTTGATTTGATGGTGCATGCACAAAAAAAGAAGAAAATAAAATAAATTAATTTTAAAAAAATAAAAAAATTTTATATTGGTTTGCATACAATATTCTTATATATTCTGTTTCATTCACATACATTGTGTTTCACATATTCCTTCACGCACATTATGTTTCATGCGATCTTTGCCATACATTGTGTTTTATTAAAAAAAAATCTCAATCTATGCCCACTATCACCCTGTCCTTTCAGGGCCATACTGGAACTTTCCTGGTTCCTCACCTCCTCCCTCCTCCCACCAAATTCTGTGACCCCGTGATACCCCCCCCAAATAAGCTCAGCCCTCCTGCCCTTTCCCTTTCCCCCCTTGGGCTTTTATACACATCTTACTAATCACCCTTCTACTTTTGCAAGCATGATTTTATTGAATGTACAAGCTTCAAGGGAGATGAGAAAGCCTGGATGGAAGCCTGGTTTAGAGAATGGTTAAAAGGGTGAACCTTGTATGATGCCACATGATCTGGAATAAGGGGAAGTCTGAGGAGAGACAATAATTGGCTAAGAATACTTAGTTATTGATAAATAGCAATGATTATATTTCAGTCATAACTACCAGCACATGAAGATCATCAATCACGGCAAAGAAATAGGAAACTCTGAAGGTGAAATACACTTTTTGAAATTCAAATGCATCTCTGAGTGGCAAATTGGAATTGGATGAAGGGCCTTTGGTTCAAACACAATGTTTGACAACAAGTGTAAACAGGGCACTGATGAATAATTTTGCTAATCATGTCAAAATATGCCTTTTGTATTAAAGTGACTTGCATGGTTTTCCTTTCATGTCACATTTCAAGTATGAAGGTGGCGACAGTGGGTAGGGTGAGGCGAAGAGGCCACTCTTGTTCTACGTGTCTATCTCGCCCGTCGCTCTCAGCAGCCTGGCCCATGACTGCTGTTGACTGCTATGTCAGACGGGGAAGGAAGCACCGCCAGTCCTGTGCCGGCCTTGTGGTCAGTGGGGCACTGGACTGCTGTAATCCACAGGATTTTCATGGTCTGATTTTTCAACAGTAGATCACCATCCCTTTCCTCCCAAACTTGGATATATTTATGACGTTGTTGTGTGGAATCAAGTTGATTTGAAAAGGTAAAGAGTATGTCCCCAAGGATACAAGCCCGTCATTAATAGAGGAGATGAATGGTGTCAAAGGTCCGGATTTCAATTTTCTCACAAATTTTAGAGTGGAGTTTCAACCTCAGCCGGACCGAGCATCATTCATACACAGCTCAGCCTCCCCTGCCTGCCCTGCCTCCTTACACAGCTCAGCCTGCCCTGCCTCCTTACACAGCTCAGCCTGCCCTGCCTCCCTCACTCTTGGACGATGCGCGAGAGTGTGCCATGTTTGTGCTGGACTGAGAGAAGAATTTCAAGGCAAGTCACTGGCCTTCCTCCACGAGGCCTTCCTCCATCAGTCAGAACCTTCTGTTGTATGTGGCATTTGTTTTGTTTTGTTTTGTTTCTGTGTGTGTGTGTGTGTGTGTGATTTTTTTTTAAATTTGGACTTTGCAAATAATTTTTAAAAAGGAAGTAAGAAAAGAAGGGAAGGAAAAAAAGAAAGTGGGAAAAAAGGAAAAAAGGTTGAAGGAAAACTACGTGCTGAATGCACCTGCCTTCATTATCTTTTGAAATTTTCAAGAGCGTCAAAACAAGTGAAGGGATAAAAGTGTAAATATGGCATGCTCACCTCTCTGAAAGAGGAAAGAAAAATTAAAGTCTACAAGAATGCTCCTTAGTCATCCTGTATTTATGAAGTACTTCCCTCCCTCATAGCCGTCCAGTCAGAACTGGAATGGTGACTCCTCACTGGGTTTCTGAGACTGAGGAGTACATGGGAGGAGAATGGCATCTTTCTCTCTCAGAACAGGCTGTGGATCTGATGGCCAGCGAGGTGATACTGCTGGGTTAGTAGCACAGCTCTCCATGGGCTATACCACCTGAACTCCCTGTGACTGCAATCCACGGTGCCCCATGGCCTGTCAGGTGCTGGGATTGCCCAAAGCATCTCCTGAACTTCTGGTGAGTAACCTTAGGGTCTGGCACTCTAGTCACATGTCTTAAATTTTAAGAAATCTCAGTGAATCTGATATAAGACTGGGTTATACAAGGTAGATTTAAAAATGCACACACCTAAAATCCACCTTTT